TTTATAATGTTCCTTCTTCTTACTCTCATGAAAGTTGCGACCAATCGGGTACTAGCCAAGTCGGCTATTGCTTGATGGAATGCCTCTCTTTTTGTGACCGGGTTGTGCACACAAAGTGCTGTGCGTCCCCGGGTTGCTACGGTCCAACAACCTATTACATTTAAAACAAACTTGAGACATCTGAGGCGCCGTCGCGGTATCCGATCTTCTGTGAAGGGTCGAGTGTATACCGCGGCAGTTCCGCCAGTTCTACTATACGGAGCAGTAATTCGACCATTAAGAAAATAGGACAAAGATATACTGTCAGTGTTTGAACATCGCTGTCTACACTGCATTGCACGAATCTAGTGGGGTAACCGGACGAGCAACGCCATGGTTAGGCGCAGAATTTTGCTTAACCGCGATCGCTCTTTGGAGCAAGTGGTCGACCTTCATAGATTACGTTGGCTGGGGCATGTAATACACATGTCACCAAATAGGTTACCACGGCGAGCGATGTTTATCGAGGCAGGTAGTGGGTGAAAGAAAGCCACGGGTGGTCAAACGAAGACCTGACATGAGGGTATGAAAACCGTAACCAAGAGACAACCTAGATGGGGACCTCGGGTTGATTGTAACTGTTGTTTAAAGACACTGAGTCATATGGCTGGGTGTCGTAAACAGTGGCATTCGTGTATCTTATGAATTTCTTTGCAATCCCAGTCCACTGAAATTCTCTCCCACTCCACGTTCAACTTTCCTGTTTTTCTCCTTCTGTTCGTACAAACTGGCAGCCAAAGACAGCAACCGAAACCGGTGCACAGAAAGTGCATCGGCAATGNGCTGGGGCATGTAATACACATGTCACCAAATAGGTTACCACGGCGAGCGATGTTTATCGAGGCAGGTAGTGGGTGAAAGAAAGCCACGGGTGGTCAAACGAAGACCTGGCGGTCACGTAGGCCCCGTTACGCTCCCTGGATGGGGACTTCGTGATGATCCTACCGGATAGTTAGAGATACTGAACATATGGCGGATTGTTGTAAACAGTGACGTTCGTGCATCTTCTCAATTTCTTCGCAACCCTAGTCCACTGAAATTTCCATTTATTGTTGGACCCAACTTTCAACTTTCCTATCTTTCCCCTATTTCTTCATTCAAATGGGTAGCCAATAGATAGGAAACAAAACCGGTGCACGAATGTGGATCGTTAATGGTTGTACACACTGATAACCGAAATGAAAATTTTAACTGGGATATCTCGCACTTCTTAGCTTGTTAGTCCCCGCTTGATTTAGCTCGTGTGTTTCATGTCACCACTGGCTGTGTACCTCCAACCGATTCTCCAGGTCATACTGGCATCCTCCGGGAACTTTACACGAGACTAGACAATAGTTTATTGGCTAAGAATCAAAAATGATTTCATACCGTAGTATTTGCTAGATTTGTGTATTTCCTAGAGGAATTCAATAATTTGTCCGACCGAATTTTCTCCATATCTGTCCTAAAGCGTTTACCTATTATGGAGTGTGTTCGAGTTCCGCGCTGTCACGAATGTATTTTTCAGTGTAGCACGGCTATTATGTTGCTGTTTGGTGTGATATCTTTCTTTAATTTTTATTTATTTTATACCAATGTGAAATGAACAACAGGCCGGGCGGACCCCAAAGTCACGACTAATTGCTGTTCACTGACGGTAGCCTGTAACCTTTACCCCGGGACTTGGAGCAGTGGTAAACCACCCAAGACCCCACTAGGTCAGGCGTGATATTGAACCATAGACAACCCACCAACACCACCACACAGAGGTTTTTGGAGGCCTTCCCGAGGTATGGTGATTTAAATCCTAACACAATTTGTTTTAAAGAAAAGAAAATTTATTCAGCAATTCAAAACAAATAATTTACATTCAAAAGAATA